TGCAGTAAGATCTGCCGGGGTTAGAGCTGGGACATATATAATAACTTGCATCATTTGAACAGGGGAATACTGGAGCTAGTTCACAGAGTAACACCTGAAAGCTAGGGGGCCCTGGGGTAACGATTTTTTGTAGTATCTTTTGGTTCTCCCATGTCATCAGCACCCATTCCCATGGTTGATGTTCATACGAGCCACTAGATGGCGTTACAAGCTCCAGAAGTAAAATAACACAAAAACATCGCGGCCCCTCGCTATGGGGGCTATTTTGCCGTTGTTTGGAAGTTGCCAATGCGGAGCTGTCAGATGTGGACAGGATGCTTGTGGACTTGTCGTCTTCTCCTGTCACCGGGGTGTCCTCTCCTGCCACCGGAGTGTATGGGGTCGTCCGAAGGGGCTTCCGATGATCCGGTCCTGTGGACAAAAACTCACAGTTTTCATTAGCTTTATTCTGGAGGTCCGGTTTAATGGACTTAAGTGGACACCACTTAACTTTGCCGTCTTTTCTGACGGCAGCGTACCCTCGCCCTGTCAGAGCTATTTTCCATCCTTGTTCCCATTCTCCCAGCTCGTTTCTAATTATGACCGGCGGGCCCTCTTCTAGCGCTCGGGTGGCCCAATGTTTCTGGGTGGGGCTATTCACTTCCTCCCCCCTGGGAAATTGATTTAGTGCTAACAGAGCAGTTGCTAGCAGGCGTGCTTGGTCTCTCGGGGGAATGGCATTGGTAAAGCCTTCTGTTTTTTCTAGTACCTCCAGTTTAGATTTCAGAGTTTGGTTCGCACGTTCAACTATAGCTTGTCCTGTGCTATTATACAGGATACCATGTGTCAGGGTAATACCCCATTTCAGAATAAATGCCTAGACTGATCTAGAAACAAAATTCGGACCGTTGTCCGTTTTGATCTGATTAGGGACGCCAAGCCATGCCATGGCCGTCAGCCAATGTTGGATGGTCGCTTTGGAGTCGGTCTTAAGGTGTTGTGTAGCTACAATCACTCCGCTATATGTATCTACAGTTACCGCTAGCCACGCTCGAGGTTTCAGCAACTGACAAAGCGTAAAATCCGTCTGCCACACTTCAGAGGCTTTAAGACCTCTGGGGTTGACTCCACTAGACCACAGCGGTGCTTTCTGACAGTGGGGGCATGTGGCCACTATATGTTTTGCATCAGTGACTGAAATCCCATATTTCTTCGCTAGCGCTTTAGCTCCAATATGGAGAGACTTGTGTAGCTGACGTGCATCTCTTAGCGTCCATAATCCTTTTGCAGCGGCGTCTGCTTTATCATTATCGGTTTGAAAAAACCCTTTGATTGGGTTATGGCTGTTGACGTGGATGACTGATATCGTGCCTTTTCGGGAAAAAAGTGCTTCTTCTAGCATTAGGGCTGTTGTGGATGTTGACACGCCGGGCCTCAACATCGCTAGGCAAAGCTTGGCCACGAACATCGAATCAGTCACTATGTTGAGATGTTCCATCGGGAACAGTCCGCACGCGAGTACCACGGCTGCCACTTCTAGCTGTTGGACTGAAAGCGCATAATCGGTCATTTTAATGCAGTGCCATTCTCCTTCTGATTGCCATACTGCTGCTGCAGTTGAGGTCGCTGAGGATGCATCTGTGAAGACTGTTGGTCCTTGTTGGGGTCGATCCATGATTTTCTGTGGAAGGTCGATGTCGACAATTGTCAGCATTTGGGTCCAGGGAGGCTTTGTAGCATACTGAACTTCTCCACCGAATCCGACGAGTGCTATGGCCAGGTATTCTGACATTGCTACTGCTATGGCCAGGTATTCTGACATTGCTACTGATCGCGTTGGAAGCTGTTTGCGGAAGGGCAGGTATATCCTGGCGGCTTCAATGCCCAAGTGTCTTAGGGCAAGTTTCCTGCCTTTCATGATAAGATTACCAAGGCACTCAACTCCTGGAGAAAATGCACGTGACGATTTTCCCAGAACTATCCATTGTATTGGTTGAGCTTTTTCAGGGGGGCCTTGGGCTAGTGCCCCTACTCCCCCTCCTTCTGTGAAGTGTACATACAGGTCAAGTGGTACGTCTGGGTTCCACCTAGCGAGCGTGCTCGATGATGCCTGTTGTTCGATAAAGTCAAGAGAGTTCATTGCTTCTGTCGTCAGAGTTTTTTGCTCCCACGGCTGTTTTCCTTTTAGAAAATCATACAGGGGGGCCATGGTTTCGGGAGGGATCAGGACGATATTATGGAGCCATTGCAAGGACCCCACTAACTGTTGCATGTCATGGAGCGTTTTGATGTGCCGACGGATTTTTATTTGGGGAGGGGTTATGTAAGAACTCGTGATCCCTATTCCCAAAAAACTCACACATGGTCCTCTTTTAATTTTTGCGCTCGCGATTTCAAACCCATTTGTTTCCAGGGTTTCCGAGACCGCTGACACTAGCTGGTCTACCTGGCTTCCTGTTGGCGCGGCAATCAGAATGTCGTCCATGTATTGAATGATAGTCGCGGTCGGGTCACTGTGTCGAACTGATGTTAACGCCCGATCCACTGTGATCTGACAGATGGTAGGCAAATTGATCATTCCTTGAGGCAGCACTTTCCACTGGAAGCGCAGGTTAGGGTGTTGGCTGTTTGGAAACACGACAGAAAAAGCAAACCGCTCCTTGTCTTCTTCATGCAGAGGTATCGAGAAAAAACAGTCCTTAATATCAAGGACAGCACAAGGTTGTCCTTCTGGTATCATAGAGTTCATGGGCAACAGCGTTTGAACAGGACCCATTGGTTGAATTCTCTTGTTTACTCTTCACGCAGGTCATGGAGCAGACGAAACCCCTCACCGGTTCGTTTGGGTATTACAAAAACTGGGGTGTTCCATGGGCTAATGGAAGATTCTATATGACCTCGTTGTAGTTCGCGGTCAACTAGCTCAAGAAGAGCATCCATTCAAGGGTTCGACAGGGGCCACTGCTCGACCCACACCGGGTCAGATGATTTCCATGTCAGTCTGATTGGTGGAAGTGGGTATGCGGCAGTGGCCCTTACGGTAAATTTGTCACTCTGGCTTTTAATAG